GAAAATTGCTGAAAGAGTCAATCTTTTTTTTTTTTTGAGTCAATCTTAAAAGTCCTCATCACAAGAAAAAGAAAAAGAATTTTTTGTAACTATTGATGGTAGCAAATGATAACTAGACTTATTTGCAATGTATATAAATATCAAATCATTATATTGTACACCCGAAACTAATATAATGTTATAAGTCAATTATACCTCAACAAAAGAATAAATAATTGAAAAAAAAGAAAAATGAAAGAAAACCAGCCTAGGTACTGCTTGAGACTAGGTATGGAGTTTTCAGGTAAAAATACATTTTCCTGAAAAGTTTAAAGATGTTGCTCCCCTGTCTTTAAGCTTCCAATACTGCTATTGAAAAGTCCAGTGCTCTCTGATTCTTTATCTTCTGATTTTGACCCTTTTTTGGTCTTGGAGTCTTTAAAAATCTTTATGCAAAGTGTTCTGAAATTTCACAATTACGTATCTTGGTTTGGATTTTTTTTTCCATTTATTGTATGAGGTAATAGGGGAGTCCTTTCAATCAATGTCCTTCTGTTCTGAAATTTTTATTATTATTTCTTTGATAATCACCTCCTCCCTCTTCTTTCTTTCTAGAACTCTTATTATTTGAGTTTGGGGACTCTTAGACTGATCAATTAATGTTCTTTCTTTTCTCTCCGGTCTTTCAACTCTGGCTTTTCCTACTTTCTCAGAGATTTCATTAAATTTATCCCCCACTTTTTTTTAAAAAAACACTCTCAGCTATCCTGTTTTTAATTTCCAAGCACTGTTTTCTTTTATTTTTGTTATTGTTGTTCTTTGAATGTTTCTTATTTAGTATTCCGTTTTTGTTTGGTTTGGTTTTTATGGATAAACTATCTTCTCTCATCCCTATGGAGTATAATTATGGTCTTTTTTCTTAGAAGTTTCTTTCTACTTCCTATAATTATTTTGCTTTTTGTTTTCCTTTTTTTCCTATTAATATTTACTTTGGTCTCTTTTCAAACATTGAAGACTTTCTTCAAATGACTGATAGTTGGCTATTAGTATTTAAGCGTGCAGCACCACAAAACAGATGGTAAGCTGTTGGTTTCTGGTCTTGTGGACCTCACCATAGGAAGACCAAGTTGTGTTTATTTTAAATCGAAATGAGCCTCAAATGTCAATAGGTAAGTTCTTTCACTTGAGCTACTGAGTTTCTACTGAGTAGAAACCTCCAAACTCTGGGATATAAACTTGATTCTGCTTTCTGATATTAACCCTTAGACCTGGAGGGAGGGGAGAATAGGGCTAATTTTCTCTAAGAATTTATAAATTAAATATTCAAAAGAACATACTTCCCATACTACTCAAAATTTTACCATAAGCAATAAACAAAATAACTGAATTTCTATAAATATTTATCCTCAGAAAATGCAAATTTTATATTTTTATTAAAAAAAAAATTTTTATTGGAGTATAGTTGTATGGCTGGGAACAGAGAATGAATGGTAGAGATGAGCTTGGAGAATTAGTCTGGGACCAGAGCATATACAGGTTTCAAGGCTAAGGTAGGCCATTTTTATTTTAAGTGTCATGGGAAACCATTGGAGAATTTTATAATATTAAAATAAGAGAAGTGTCATAATTGGACTTAAAAAAATCACTCTTGCTGCTCAGTGGTAAATCATCTGAGAGGACCAAAGTATAAGCAGAGAGATTGTTTAGAAAACTACTGCGGTAGTCCAGGGGAATGAATTTCAGTGTTCTCAACTAAGGTAGTAGCGAAGATAGAAAAGGAACACTTGAAATGTTTTAGGAATATCATCAACAAGGCTAATGATAGATTGGATTGGTAGGAAAGCAGGAAAGAGTCAAATCTAGGGTGACTTTGGGCTTGAGCAACTGCTACTTAATGAGATAGCTGCTGCTAGAAGGATGGACCATACACAGACAAGAGCAGAGCAGAGGGGTCAACCAGGAAGCTTGAATGGAGGACAGCTGGGTATTTTCTTTTTCTTTTTGTGAAGAGCAGGCAAGTTGTACATGAAAAGGAATGGCTCTCTTAGCCACATTAGCTTCAAGGTGCTTATTAGACATTCAAACAGAAACGTCAGGTAGGCAAGTGTCCCAAAGATCTGGAATTCAAAAGAGATGACTGGGCTGGAGATACAGATTTGAAAGTCACTAGTATATGGATGCCACAAAGCCATGGACTGGGTGAACCAGGTCACTCCGGAAGAAAGTGCACATGGAGAAGTAGCAGAGAGGAAGTCAAGGGCATTGGAGTGGTGGATAAGATCCACATGTGTCAAAGGAAAACCAAAGAGAGGTGTCACAAAAGTCTAGAGAATTGTTTCAAGAAGGAAGGTATAGTTAGTTGTATCACAAGCTATTGAACGAGTTAAATGCGGACCAACACCATTATTTGAACCACTGGCTTTGACAAGATGTGGGCTTTGAGAAATATCCATTTCAAGGGTTTGAAGAAGAGATGAGGGTAGAGACTGGAAAGTATAGACATGTCTTCTAGGGAGTTTTGCTGTAAAGAAGGGCAGAAAAATTGGGTGTTAGCGGAAGGCAGAAGTGGGGTCAAGTAAGGATTTTTTTAAATTTGGGTAAGATTTCAATAGGAAGGATTACTCAAGAGAATGAGGGGTAAGGAGCACAATTTGAGGTGCCTTAAGAAGGTCTGGCAGAGTAGGCAATGGCACCCCACTCCAGTACTCTTGCCTGGAGAATCCCATGGATGGAGGAGCCTGGTAGGCTGCAGTCCATGGGGTCGCTAAGAGTCGGACATGACTGAGCGACTTCACTTTTCACGCGCTGGAGAAGGAAATGGCAGCCCACTCCAGTATTTGCCTGGAGAATTCCAGGGACGGGGGAGTGTGGTGGGCTGCCGTCTCTGGGGTCACACAGGGTCGGACATGACTGAAGTGACTTAGCAGCAGCAGCAGCAAGAAGGTCTGGGGGATGGGACTCACGTTAAGTTCTTTAGGCAATCCTTCACGTGCAAAGCAAAATATGTTAAGAATTTTTTGTTTTTAAACTGGTGAAATGGGAAAGATCTTCAATGACAGAAACAGGGCTGATGATAAAGGAATGACAGATGTGTTTTGGACATATTAAGTTCAGTGAAATAGTTAGATTAACTGACTAACTTGGTAATTAGTACAAGAGACTTTGAGCTTCATGATAGTAATGATGCTTAAGAAAGATAATATATTTTACAAAAGATCAGTTCAGTTGGTAGACAGCATTTAAATTATTCCGTATCAAATTAACAAGTCCTTACCTTGCCAAGATTCTTGGCACTTTTATATTCACTTAAAATTACATTGGGAAAAAGCATAATAGTAATGGAAAAGCAACTAATTATAAGCAATTACAAGCCAAATTATGTTTATACCACAATTAGTGTTTAAGGTGGTTTAGTAGACTAAGTCTTCATTTCAATAAGCAACCATCAAATAATTGAATAGCTTGTAAAACACATAAATACCTCTTTTATCTTTATTCCAAGTATAACCACCACATTCTTTGAATTATTATTATAATAAAATGGGCAAGTCATTATCTTTTGTCCCAATCCCCAGTCTGAGTTGGATGCTTTTAAAAACATGGCAAGAGTAGCTGTATGTACCTTCTGCACAATACAGCTTCTTTCAGCAGATTTGACATAGAAATGTGAACAAATTCATGTTCTTGTAAGACAAGTACTAACTACCCAGCAGAGACTCTAGAGTACACACTCAAACTACATCTTCTTCATTAAGTTTTTCATGCTTACAACATTGTCTTATTTCACTTATAGTTGAGTCTTTCTCTAAGGATGATAAGGAAAAGTCCCTTGTCTCGTGACAGTGCTGATTTTTATGTCAGGTTGGGTTTTTTCCTCCCATATTTCTAAGTAAAAGTCACAACTTTGTTACGACAATTTTGCCACCTGGGGTTAAACTGTTTGACTACTACTTGATAACTTTTACATTTTACTTGATCACTGAAATTAGATTCATGACTCTAAATCACGACTAATCATCACTCTGAAGCCTCGTTAATTTCCACGCAATTTCAGATATTTAATTTTTACCATTTTTTGTTGAATGACCATTCTTTAAATTCTATAGTGCTTCACAATATTCAAGAGTTTTACAGAGATGATTTCATATAATCCCCTCTATTTCCCCTACCCATTTACGCCCCAATTTCAGATTCTATTTAATAAAGCAGGTTCTAGAAACAGTTTTGCAGAATAAATTCCCACCAGTTGACCTAATTGAGCACGTTGTTGCCAGTGCTTCACGGCAGCTACTGAGCTCGGCCAACCCCGAGGCTTGGCGAGCCACATGGTGGGAGGTGGGTAAAGCCGGAGCCCTTCAAGGCTGGGCGCCACGTTGCTTTTCCCTTTTTGAATAGGGAGACAACGCTTCTGGCTATTGTGTAAATCGGCCGAGAACTGCGTTCATCCGCACATGAGCTAAAGCGTGATCGGAATTAAAGCGCCTTCTAATCCGATCCTTTGGCAACATGTGCGTCACGGACTAATGTTGAGTTTTAATGCCTGGCTTCTTTCGCCTTGGGGAAACACTTAAGAGAATGGCCGAGTACCTCAGCAATCTCGGCGAAGTGCACGGGATCAAAACGACCACGCCATCCCAGCAGTGGCCACAGCCCCCACCGAACCCCGCCAACTCTCTGGAGGACCCACCCTTGTTCCCCGCTCTAACCAGTTGCTTTACGCAGCGCTACACAGCCTTCCCTCAGTCCGTCCCCGCTCTCCCATCCACTCAGCATTCGACCCCAGGCTCTAAGTCCCCAGTCGGACAACAGACAGCAGTCTCCCGCCCAGGGGCCAGCCTGAACCCTGAACCGCAACGCGGCTGGCTGCTCCCCGCGCTGCTAGCGGGCGGGCGGCCAGCCAGCCGCAACTAGGCGGCTGGTGATTGACAGGATGCTGGAGCAATCAGCTGCAAGGGCGGGACGTTGCGTCATTTCCTGTTCTTTTGGGTTTAGCCGGGGTATATAAATTCGCTGCTCACGCAGTGCTCTCGCTCCCACAGTATGGCCGGCGACATTAGCTAGCGCTCGCTCTACTCTCTCTAACGGGGAAACAGCGGACTACAAGAGACTGAGCTGTATCTGCCTCTATTTCCAACAGACTCACGTTCAACTTTCGCTCACCCACACACACAAAGCCGGGAAAATTTTATTAATCCTTTTTTTAAAAAAAGTTAATATAAAATTATAGCAAAAAAAAAAAGGAACCTGAACTTTAGTAACACAGCTGGAACAATCCGCAGCAGCGGCGGCGGCGGCGGGAGAAGAGATTTAATTTAGTTGATTTTCTGTGGTTGTTGGTTGTTCGCTAGTCTCACGGTGATGGAAGCTGCACATTTTTTCGAAGGGACCGAGAAACTGCTGGAGGTTTGGTTCTCCAGGCAGCAACCCGACGCAAACCAAGGATCTGGGGATCTTCGCACCATCCCAAGGTGGGTGCTCGGGGCTCTCGCCCACAGTCGAGTCTGGGGGACTGTCGTCGCCTGGGAGGCACCAGCCTGAGGCGGGGGCCGTGGCTTGGGTTCCTATAGCCTTCAGGTGGGGGCAGGTCCGCGTGCGGGAGGTCGTTTTGGCAGTCGTGGAAAGGGCCCCGGCACTGGGGGTGAGCAGCCAAAGGTCCACGCGGGGCCCGATCCAGCTTCTCCCGCCACCGTTGCCGGGCCGGGCGCTGCCCGGGGGGAGGGGAGGAGGCCGGCGCAGCCGCGTGCTCAGGTAACGTCCCCGGCGCGGCGTGCGGGGCGGCGGGCAGCGCCGTTCCGGGTGGTTTAGCGGCCCTCACCTTCCGACTTACTCCCCACCGGCCGGATTTGGCGGTCCGGGACCCCGGGTGGGGTGTCCGGAGGTGGGGGCCGCGCGGGCTCCCTCCCGGCAGGTGTGGCTCGGCGGGCTTAGTCAGGCGCTAATTCGGGCGTGTCCGCTTCGGGAGTGGAGGAGGGAGGGAGCGGAGCGGATCGGGAGCCCGATTCGTTCTCTCGCGTGCGGCGGGAAGGGGTGTGTGTGGGGGGGCCGGCCCGGCCGGGGCCGAGGGGCTGACTAACAGGCCTCCCGCCCGCGGTCGGCGCTGGCAGCGTGTGGCGCCCGGGCGGCGGGGATTGGGCGGGAGCAGCTGTGCCGCAGTGGCTGGGCCGCACCGCCGCCCTAATGTGCTTTGCACCAGAGCCCTTTCGGGGCTGCCCGGGAAGACGATCGGAGAGCCCACCGAGGCTGGCGCCCCAGTCTCGTGACCTTGGGCTGTGTAACCTGTTACCGTGTCGGCGGAGTCCAGAGTGGAATGAGGCTAGCCTGAATTTACGGGCTAGAGGCGGGTTGGAGCTCGGACATAATACCTTTAATGCCTAATCCTGTAAAGGAATCTGGGGCTCCAGCCTCCCTCCCTGGGCAGTCATGCGAGAGAGCTGGGCGATCGCGCAGAAAAGAAGGCGGCTTGGAGTGGTCTCGATCCCAGCGCAGATGAGGACGCGGGCGACCCCGATGGTGGCGGGGCCGGCTTCCCCTCCCGGGGTCTGGGACCACAAGGCACCCCTCGCCATTCTAGGCTCCTTGGTGCTCGAGTGCGGCTAGTGTGCCTTGCGGCGGAGGAGCCGGCGCGGCCGCTTCATTGAAAAGCTACGACCGAAGAGCTCCTGGGTCGGACCCGGAGCCTGCCCCGGGGTGTGGGCCAATGGGCGTTTCAGGAATGTTGGCTGCACTCGCCGCCTTTCCTGACAAAAAGCAACTGGGGAAGGGAATCTAGGCGGACACGTGCTGCCGGGACTTTTAAGGCGGTCTGTCTTGAAGGAATCTCCCGTAGGAAAACCTCGTGTTAGCTAAAATGTAACCGGTTTCATTTTTCAAGCTTTGTGCGACACTTAAGAGGTCATAACATGGCCCCTATTCTAGGAAGCAGTTACTTATAAATATGGGGAAGCTTAGTATTTCCTCCATTTCACAGATGGGAAATCTCCCTCGTGTTGGCGATATATGCCTTTGGTAAAACGATTGTGATAGGATTATCTAGGAAATACTGCCAGAAAGAACTAATGTGGAAAAACAAGTCATATAATGAATAACAAAATTTTCTGCTCTGGCTCTTTAAATGAGTTGAAGCTTTATTAGTAAGCACGCGTTCTTAATAAAGGGAAGGGAATGTTTCCTCCTCGAGTTCTTGGGCAAAAACGCCAGAATTTAAACTCAGGCTTTTTTGGTTAAGAGTTAGTTCTTTAAAAAAAAAAAAAAAAAATTTCTCCGAATCAAGGAGAAGGAGAAAGGCTTATAAATGGGCAGCTTGCTTTCTTTCAAATGTTTGAGGACGACTTTTGTACTTTATCAACTGAAATTGTTTTACTGCTTCAGCGTGGATCTTAAAGTGATGGCAAAGGTTATACCTTGAGGGACAGAATGTTGGTTTTGATGAATGTGATTAAGTGCCATAAGTTTTGTAGATGCTTGGAATTCGTTAAATCCCATAGAAGGGTTGTCAGTCATCAAGAAGAGTAATGCATAATGAAATGGTTAGTGCATGGCCCATGGCGCGTCTAGATTTGAGTTCAAACATCATCTAATAGCTAACTGTTTGATATTTTTGCCTCTCCAAAATGGAGAAAATAATGGTACCTCTTCATGGGGTAATTGTGAGGGTTAAGTGGGTTAATACATACTCAGTACTTAAAACTGTCTGAGACACAGTAACCACTCTAAGTATTAACATCTTCATCTCCGATTCTTTACCTTAAGGACAATCTTTTTCTCTTCTGCTTGTTTTTAAGCAAAACAGGCTAGAGGAGAAAGTATTTCAGTTTATAGTCAAATAGGCAATTTAAAATTACATGGTGCCCAAGCAATTTGATGTATTTTTATTCAAGTAGAAGAGATGGTGAGCTTCAGATTGCTTAATGAAGTTAAATCTTAATTCTTCCACGGAATAATCTTTAGTAGCTTTGTTTTTATTTGATGATATAAATGTTAGGAAGGCAGAAAATCCTTCTTTTTACTTGCCTCACATCTCCAACCTCAGTAATTCCACTAAAATGCAAATAGAAGAAAGTCAAAAGACATTCACAGACTGGAATAAAATATACTGTTTATAAAACATAAAACCTAAGGGCATGGAAGGAGTTAAGATGTACTAAGAGGGCGTCACTACCAATGCTAAAGACATTTAAAAGGCAGGATATTACAGGAAAATTCCTAGGAAAGTACCTTCCCACATCGATGCAAGAAGAAATAAAAATCCTAATAGTCCTATAACCACTGCATGAATTGACTTAATCACCCATAAAGAAATATCTAGGCCCAGATGGTTATTCTGGAGTGTTCTAACACTCAAGGAAGAAATAATTCCAACCTTTTTCATACATTACATCCATAATTAGTAATTAGTTAACAGAGAGGGAACACATATCACAGTTCCTTTTGGGGTTTGTATAATTTCGATACCAGACCCTGAGGAGAGCTGTGAAGGAATCAAGATTTTCATGCACTGCAGATGGGAATGGGAAACAGTGTATCCACTTGGGAAAATGGTTTGGCAGTTTCTTAATAAGTTACTGTGCCTGCTAAGTTGCTTCAGTTGTGTCTGACTCTTTGTGACCCTTTGACTATAGCCTGCCAGGCTCCTTTGTTCATGGGATTTTCCAGGCAAGAATGTTGGAGTGGGTTGCCATTTCCTACTCCAGGGGATCTTCCCAGCCCAGAAGTTGAACCCGCATCTCTATGTCACCTGCATTGGCAGGCAGGTTCTTTACCACTGGAGCCATCTGGGAAGCCCTAAAAAGTTAATACATCTCTTATATGATCTAGGCAGTCTAGTCCACTCATGTGTTTGCCCAAGTGAACAGGAAATATGTCCATACAAAGACTTTTACATAAATATGTTCTTAGAAGCTTTATTTTGCAATAGCTCCAGAACTGAAAACAAGTCTCTGTGTTCATTCTATAGAATACTACTTGGTAGTTAAAAAAAAGAGTGATGAACTGTTATTGACACATGCAACAAATGATTGTGCTGGAGAACAAATAATAATAAGCCCCATGAGAAGTCCTTAAGATTTCATGTCTATAAAACCAGAAAATACATACATGATAGGCAAAGGATGGGAGTTAAGGGAGAATGGTGGATTACAGAGAGGCATGACAGAACTAATGATGCTAATCTGCCAAAGCTCAGATGGTAATCCACCTAGAATGCAGGAGACCAGGGTTCAATTCCTTGGACGGGAAGATCTCTTGGAGATCTTCCCACTGGAGTGGGCGTGACAACCCACTCCAGTATTCTTGCCTAGAGAATCCCCATGGACAGAGGAGCCTGGCGGGCTACAGTCACAAAAGTTATGAAAGTCATAAGTACATCTCAAATTTTCACAAATTGATCCCATCATGTAAGCAGCCTTCATATCTAGGGAATGTAACTAGCCAGAAGTCCCCCTGTGCCTCCTTCCAGTTATAACCTTTTACGCTCTCCACCTAAGGGAACACCACTATCCTGAGTTTTAACACACCATGGTTTTCCCTAGTTTTTTTTTTTTTTTTTTTTAATAACATGGAATCATTTGGTATGCATTATATACCTCCTTTGGTCAGCATTATGTTTAGGGTTTATTTTTTAGTTCATTCTCAATGTTGTATAGTATTTTTGTGTCCATACACCACAATTTATCAAATCTACTATTTACATCAATTATTTCCAGTTTGCTAATACAAATATATTGCTATGAAAACTGTATAAATGTCTTTTCGTAAACAATATGTATGCTGCCCTGTTAGATACACACACCTAGGAATGGAACTGCTCAGTCATAGGGTGCATACAGTGCTTCTCTGGTCGGTAAAGCTCGGGGTTGGGAAGTTCCCCTGGAGAAGGGATATGCTGCCGGTTCCAGCTTTCTTGGGCTTCCCTGGTGGCTCAGATGGTAAAGAACCTGCCTGCAATGTGGGAGACCTGGTTTGACCCCTGGGTTGGGACGATCCCCTGGAGGAGGGATGGCAACCCACTCCAGTATTCCTGCCTAGAGAATCCCCATGGACAGAGGTGCCTGGTGGGCTACAGTCCACGGGGCCCAGAGTCGGACACGACTGAGAAGCACAGTACAGGGTGCGTATATTCAGCATAAGGGTGCGGCTGCTCAGTATCTTCATTTAACACTTGTGTTGTCTTTTTCATTTTAGCTATTTTGTGGGTGTATAGTGGTCTGTGTATTTCCCTTCAGACTAATGAAGTTGAACATCCTTTTATATCTTTATCCTCCATTTGGCTATCTTTTGTGAAAAGCTTATTCAAGTCCACTTTTTCTTTAGGGATGATTTTTCAGTTTGCAGGAGTTCTTTATTATAGATGAATTATCTCTCCAATGTGTGCATTACAAACATTTTCTATCCTCTGGTTGCCTTTTTCGTTTTATTAATGACAGTTTAGAAAATAGTTCATAATTTTAATGTCCCATTTATCAGTATTTCC